AATACTTTATTATATGGATAGGTCCTTAATTTATTGTTCTTTCACTTTTTTGACAATGAGACTTTTTAGTTTTCTGTTAGAAGTAATAATCTTTTTTGTTTGGTTTTTGGTTTTTGGGTGCTTTTTTTTTTTTGGACAGGATCTCACTCTGTAGCTCAGGCTATCTTTGAACTCACTGTGTAGCCGAGACTAGCCTTGAACTCATGGCAATCCTCCTGCCTCAGCCTCCTGAGTGCTGGGATTACAAGTGTGCACCACTATTCCTGGCCTAGGAGTAATAGTATTGAATATATTTTAACAGAAAATGTTGGCCTTGTTTCAGATTAATTCCTTAATACAGGTAAATTTCTGGAAATGAAGTTACTGAGTCAAAGGCTGTTCATGTTTTGAAGGTTCTTGCTATAAGACCAGATTGCTTTCCCATGGAGTTGTAACATTTTATGTGTAACTCTCAGTCTCTGCTCATCCTGGCCAATTGTAATACTTAACGGCGACTGTTTTTAGTTATTGCTGAATTGATATAGATGACATCTAATTATTTAATTTTCATTTTTTATTGCTAATGAATTATATATTTTTATGTTAGGCATTTATATTTTCTTCTTTATAAGTTGTTTTATCTATTTATGTTAGAGTCCAGTGTTTTTGACATTGATTTGTATGAGCTCTTTATTGAGGGCATTAATTCTCAGATTATTGGTTGTAGCTTTTCTCCTGAATTGTTGACTTCTAGTTTTCTTTGAAATCTTTACTTTTATGTAGACAAATCTTTACTTTTTTCCCGTGATGTCTTTCTATTACTTAAACTTAGAAAATTCTCCTTTTTATGGCTAGATTTTAAATTTACACTTTTCCCTCTGAATTATGTACTTAACTTAGTATTAATCCCTCTTAAGGAGAAAAATGTACCCTTTTATTTTTCAGATCCCAAACTGATCTTCCAGGCTAGCCTTGCGAATGCTCAGATTTTGATTCCCACCAATCAGGCCAGTGTAAGCAGTATGCTGTTGGAAGGACATACCCTCCTGGCCCTTGCTACTACAATGTATGCTCCTGGGCGTGCCAGCCAGGTGTGAACAATGCTTTTACCTATCACAGCAAAATAGCAATGGTTTTAAATTTAGTAGGAATATCTATGGATTGTCTAGATCGCCACTGATTTTAAAATATACCACTTTTAAGAATATATACCACTTGTTAAAGAACACAAAGTGGGTAAATTTTTAAGTTTTGTATAATATCTTTTTTTTTGGTACCAGGAATCAAACTTGGGACCTTGCATTTGCAAGGCAGGCAGCAGCACCACTGAGCTAAATCCCCAGCCCTAAGTTTTGTATAATATCTTAAGTTGGGAGAAAACTAATGTGTTATACAGAGCTACTTTCTTTCCCATTAGTAATATCGCTTTTAAATTTTGCAGTATACAGTGGACCCTCGACTTTCGTACTTCACCAGTTCCCAGGGGCTGGTTGGTTGTAAGTTAATACAACTAAGATCTGAATGTTTACCTAGGTACAGGCTATAGATAACAAGAGGTAAATGAATCTTCCATTAACCTAATTAACCCAAATTGTTCATATGTCAGGTGTATTGTAACTTGAGGGTCCACTGTACTTCTCTAGGTAAGTTATTTGCCTAATAGAATAGCTTTGGAGCTGAGAAAGGACCTAGGAGTCATATACTGTAGTAGTTTTCAAACCTTTTAAGCTATTTACTATTTAATATTGAATTTTAATTAATTAATTAATTTACTTATTTATTTTTGAGACAAGGTCTCTGTGTGGTTCAGGCAGGCCTCAAACTCATGGAAATCCTCTTGCCTCAGCCTCCCAAGTGCCTGGATTACAGGCATGTGCCACCATGCCCAGCTTAAATTTAAATATTTTAGACATTATAGTAGTAGAGCTTTTTCCCAACAAGGTATAGTTTGCATACAGCTAATCTAGCTCAGTTTCCTAATATTGCAGATGAGAAAATAGGAAGCCTGGTAGTAAATATCCAAAGGTCAAACAGCCAGTTTTTCTTTGAACCAGAACTGGAACTGTTACTGTTACTAACCTATGACTATTTTTAATAGTGCTGTTTTCACTACTGCCTACTCTCTCAAGATCATTTTTTCACAGAGTTCTTGTGAAAAAGAGGTGAAAGTTTTGAGAATGAGAATGAAAATGAAAGAATTTTATTCTGTATTTGTTATGAATCTTTTTATCTAGGTTGTTCAGAATGAGAACTGTTTGAAGAAAGTGGATCCCCAGCTACTCAGGATGGCCTTAACTCCTTACCCAAAGTTAAAAGCTGCTCTCTTCCCACAGTGCACTGCTCCTAGTGTCCTGCCGCCTGATATTACACTCTACCACCTCATTCAGGTACAGTTAAATGTATCAGTCAGTGTTCAATTGCCAAAACAAAGCAACTAGAAACTTGGAGGAGAGGCCTCCAGAAAGCACTTTTTCTCTTTCACTCCCCACCTTTAATTTCCCCTAGCGTCTACTTATCTGGTAGCCAGAACAGCACGGATAGTTCATTGCTGTAGTTCCTTACGATACAAAGCTGAGTAGAGGAAGAGTGGAAACAGATGAGACAGTTGACCAGGATACATGTCCACCACTTGCTTCAAATTCCACCCATGAGGATCTCATCTCAGCAAGTTAGGGTGCTGTGTTTGAATCAGTGTTACTTAATGTTTTTCAAGACCCAGATATCCCTAAGAATGTGAGAGGGGGCCAGGGATTTAGCTCAGCGGTTCCTCTGCCTGCCTCAAGCATAAGGACCCAAGTTCCATCCCCAGTAACAAAAAAACAAAAACAAAAAAAATATGAGAGGGCTCTGAATCCTATATCCAGAATACTTTTCTTTTACAGAACCATGTGTGTGTTACATAAGGGTTCATGAAATTCCTTGTGTGTAGTTGGTACATGTACATGATACATCTTAATTCCTGTTTTCATCCCTTGAACTTCTACCTTCCCTCCATTTCCTTTCTTGATCCCCTTCCCCTTTGAGAAAGCTCTGACCCCCTAGTTCCTATTGTCTTTCCTTTTGCTCTTTATTTATACTGTGGGTTAATTTTGTTTGTATTTCAAAGGGATGCACAGACTCCCTGAACCCTTGATTCAGGGAACTCAGTTAAAAATACCTTTTGCTCATTTCTCAGTTGAAAAGACTTTTCTGTTTTTTCTGTTGTATGCATAGTCTCATATAGTATCTTCAATCCAACATAAAGTCCATAATTCTATAAAGATACAAAGTAACTTTTATTCTAATATGAGAAATTCTTGGGATAGGCTGCTGAGTACGATCTGCTGACCAGTGCCGATCTGTGAGAACTGATCTTGTGCTGTAATTTAAATCTGTCTTATTTCCGTAGGTTTTTGTCTTGTAAGACTTTCCTGAAAAAGGAAGCAGAATACTAGATTGGCATTCTGGTGCTGGGATCTTATCTCACTGTAGATCAGTGCTTTGAGTTGCTGTGGTATAAACTGAGTGGATTATGTAAAAGCCTAGTTTCTCTACCTAAACTTATAAATCAGCTTTAAATTTACATGGTTTCACATTGTTCTTTTTTATGTTTTCAAGTTCATGGTGTAATTTTAGTGCTGTTATTTTAGAAAAATTAAGGAAACTTGCTCCTTCTTTAATAGACCACAAATTCTTCTTTAGCCATTGAGTCCTGGCTTTCTAGCTCTTTTCTTTCCCCTAATCCTTTCCATCATCTATTCATAGACTTTGCTAAGTCTTTGGCCTGACAGATTCCAAACAGCTATTACTCCTTTTTGTCAACCCTTTCTGACTTGATCTTAGTCTACCATGTTTTCTTTGTTAATGTTTTTGGTTACCACATTCTTTCAACTGTCTTACTCTTTCCTTTCCCTTCTTTTTTTTTTGCCGTACCAGGGATCTAACTTGGGACCTTGTGCTTATGAGGAAGGTGGCGGATAAATCCCCTTTCCCTTCTTGACTTTAATTTTTCTTATTTTCTAGCCCTTTGTTTCCAAAAGCTTTTTTAAAGCATGTTATGTGTTACAGTTGATTTTGCTTTTGCCAAAAGAGAATACATTTTTCTAGGCATCTCTTGAAGTAAGGTTTTAAAAAGAACATAACTACCATTTTTATTAAAATATGAAGGTCTTTTTTGTTGTTTTGTTTTTAGTTGTGCTCAAAGAATTATTATTCAGAGAGATAAAGTTTTATGTTATGATGTTGGGGATTGAACCAGGACCTTGCACATGCGGGGTAAGTGCTCTGAGTTATGCCTCAGCCCAGCGTAAGTTTTTAATTGCCCTGGAAGTCAGGCATGATGGTGTACTCCTGTAACCCTAGTACTCTGGGAGGCTGAGGCATGAAGATTACATGTTTGAGCTCAGCCAAGACCTTAACTCAAAATTTAAAAAAAATAAAATTTAAAGGCAGGGGATGTGAGGATATGCAAAGGCCCTGGATTCAGTCTCTAGTAATGGAAAGAAAATTTGTTTGGAGAAACAAATTGTCTGTGCAGACTTTTCATATCATATTGTTTACTTATTTTAGAATCAGTAAACGTGGGCTCTGATTAACTTTTTCTTTTTTTCAGTCATTGTCACCCTTTGATCCTAGCAGATTGTTTGGCTGGCAGTCTACCAATACACTAGCAATAGGAGGTAAGTCAATACAAGTATTTCTTATTCTTAGTACTATTGGTGTTAGAAGTTAATATATATAAAACAAACTCATTTTTTCACTGCTTTCTATTTTAAAAATATGGAAGCTGGGCATGATTGCATACCTATAATCCCAGCACTCAGAAGGCCTAACCAAGAGGAAATAAGTTTGGGTAGCTTAACAAGATGCTGTCTGAAAATGAAAAAAAAATTTAAAAGGTAGAGATATAGCTTAGTATGAAGGTCCTAGGTTTAAGCCCCATTATTACCCAACCTCCCAAAAAAAACACAAATTATGAGTTAAAAGTCTATTTTCTTAATAGTGCTGAATTTCTAACAATTCATCTTTGTTTGCAATATAGTATTGTAAAGGTTAGGATATCCTTGATGTTGGCCTTGATAAATTCTGTTTCAACCATCTAAGAAGTATATGAGGTTAGGCAAGTAATTTAACCTTTCTTCAATTCCTTATAAAATAAGTTTAATAACAGTGCTCACCTCACATGTGAGAATGGAGAATATATAAAACTCATGTAGTAAGTACCAGATGCATACACATTGCCTCTGTGCAGACCATGAGAATTTCTGAGTTTTATGCTGTTCTTAAAACTCAGCCCTTTCTGCTTCTTTTATCTTTGCAGAAGGTTTAAATTGAGCCTTTTCTGTTTTTCTTTTCCCTTTGCATTTAGGGTTAGCCTTTGATACCATACTCCCTATGATAGCTCTGTCTGCATTGCTTTCTAAGATTATTTCATACACTTCATAAATACTTGACATACATCATGTTTGTACTGTATCAGTTGTATCAATATTGACATACATAAAAATGAGTTTTCTTTTTTTTGAGGGGCAGTATTGGGGATTGAACAAAGAGGAACTGAATGACTGAGCTACATTTGCAGCCCTTTTTAGTTTGTTTTGTTTTTTTGTTTTGTTTTTATACTAGGGATTGAACTCGACCTCACGCTTGCGAGGCAGGTGACAGCACCGCTGAGCTAAATCCCTGGCCCTCCTTTTTAGTTTTTTATTTTGAAACAAGGTCTTAAGCTAAGTTGCCCAGATGTCTTTGATCACAATCTTCTTGCCTTGACTTCCTGAGTATCTGGGATTACAGGGATGCACTACTACACCCACCTTTTTCTTTTGCTCAAGATGGGGTCTTGCTTTGTTACTTGAATTGGCCTCAAATTGTAATCTTCCCACCTCAGACTTCCAAGTAGCAGGGATTATAGGCATGGTCCACCATGCCTGGCTTATTAAAATGAGTTTTCTAATATATCCATTTATAGGGCCAGGGATGTAGCTCAGTGGCACTGCACCTGCCTGGCAAGCACAAGGTCCTGAGTTTGATCCCTGGTACTTGGGTGTGTGTGTGTGTGTGTGTGTGTGTGTGTGTGTGTGTATCTAGAGAGAGAGAGGGAAAAAAAGACGGCTGAGGATGTGGTAAAGGACTTCTAGGTCCAATACTCAGGACCACAAACAACAGTAACAACAAAACAAAACAAAACAAAAAAACCCATAATATATCTATTTGTGTAAGTTTTCATCTGATATATTGAATTTACATACTACCCCAAGTCCAGTGCAGTGCCAGACCTACAACATATATTCAGAAGTATTTATTGAGTGCTCAAAAAGTAGTACTTACTGCATTATGAAGTAAAAACATCCTCTCTAATTTGTTAGTTTTATTTTAATGTCTCTGGCTTTATCACTTAGCCAGCAAGAATCTTGACCACCTCTGGGATATTAAGCCTGCATGGTTTTTAGAAGTTTAAAAAATACTTGAAGAATTAAGGTACAAAATAAATGGAATAGGTACCATGAAAACATAATACATATTTATATAATTGGAGAGTCAAGTTTAATTGGAATGTTTACTTCTTTTTTTATGTGGATTTGAACTGAATAGGAGTGTAAGAAAACTGTGGTGTCTTGGCTTCTGTGACTGGTAGAATTTTCCCTTACACACAGTCCCATCTGCAAAAAAAAAAAAAATCAGAATTATTTAAATAAAAATCTCAAGTTTGTTTTTTCAGCAGTTATCAGTTCTATACCTTACATGTTCAATATTTTATATATTTTTTTCCAGTACTGGGAATTGAACTCAGGACCTTGTGCTTGACAGACAGGCACAGCGACACTGAGCTACATCCCAGCCCAATATGTTCAATATTTAATGAATGGTTTTGGGTTTTGTTTTTTGGGTTTTTTTTTTTTAGGTACTGGTGATCAAACGCAGGACCTGGCACTTGCAAGACAGGCACAGTGCCACTTAGCTAAGTCCTCAGCCCATAAAAAGTTTTACATATAGTAATAAGTTACCAAAGTCACTCTGGTCTCAGAATACAAATAAGACATGACAATTTTTAACCTCAAAGAGTTATACTTCAGTTAATAGCCTTATGATAGATGCCTCTAAGGTCTCCACATCTTTTTTTTTAGGAACCACAACAATGTGAAAATTCATGAAAACATTAAGTTTTATTCCAGGGATGAACTTTGAACTTTGAAAATATTTTCAGAACTGGTTCTTGGAACAAGTTCCAAATGTTATTTTATCTCCTTTTGCTCTGCCCATGGGTAGGAAGTGGTTAAGAGGCAGTTAAAGATGAGAGCTTGACAGGAATGGTTATTTTATGTTACTCACATCCAAGTGTCTTCTTTTTTTGGTACTGGGGATTGAACTCTGGTCCTTGCGCTTGCAAGGCAGGCAACCAAACTGCTGAGCTAAATCCCCAGCCCCCAAGTGTCTTCTGACTTTGAATCTCCCTAAAAAGAGAAAATGTTTTCCTGCTTTTCTTTTTTTGGTTTTTTGAGGCAGGGTCTCCCTTTGTAGTTCAGGCTGGACCTGAACTCAATATGAAGCCCAGGCTGGCCTCGAATTCTCGTTGCTCCTCCTGCCTCAGCCTTCTGAGTGCTAGGATTATGGGTGTGCACTACCATGCCTAGCTATTTTTAAAAACTCCTTTTGCAGATTAGTAAGAGTTTTATAGCTAAAGAGTTACTGCCATTGTGAAATTAAAATATCAGTATAATATTAACAGAACTACAAAGATGGCTCTACATGCACAGATTAATAAGTACCATACATCATGTTAACAGAATGAAGGAAAAAACATAAATGATATCAGTAGATGCAGAAAAAATATTTGACGAAACTCAACATCCTTTCATGATAAAAACTAAAAAAGTTAAGTATCAAAGGAATATATCTCATTATAGTAAAGGTTGTATATATGACAAGCCCTCAGCTTCCATCAGGAGTAACAGCTGAAAATTTTTCCTCTGGGATAGGGAACAAGACAAGGATGCCCACTCTGACCACTTCTGTTCAACATAACATTGGGAATCCTGGGCAAGAGGAAGAAACACAAAGTGACTAAATCAGAAGGGAGGTTCAGTTGTCATTGTGTATAGATGATATGATTTTGTGTACAGAAAATCCTAAAAGCCACCAAAAAACACCAACTGTTAAAACTAGTTGAAAGAAAAAACTAGTAAATGAGTTCAGTAAAGTTGTAAATGGTCACCGTACAAAAATAGCAATATTTCTATATGTTAACAATGAATAATATGAATGAGAAATCAAGAAGTCCCATTTACAATAGTATTAAAAGAATTTTGGAGTAAGCCAGAGATGAAAGATGTATCATTGGTGAAAGGAATTGAGGACATAAATAAATAGATGTATCCTGTGTTCATAGATTGAAAGAATATTAAAATGTTCACACTACCTAAAGCATTCTATAGATTCAGTAAAATCCTTGTCAAAATTCCAGTCACATTTTTCACAAAAATGGAAAAAACAGTCTTAAAATTCTCATGAACCCCTAGAGAGGTACTCAAGCCTGCCTGAGCAAAAAGCAAAGCTGGAAGCATCACAATACCTGACCTCAACACTGTATGGTACTGTTATAAAACAGACACATAGAAAGATGTAACAGAGTAGAAAATCCAGAAAAACACTCACTCTCATATGGTCAACTAATTTTCAACAAGGACACTGAATTTACCATAGGGAAAGGACTGTCTCTTCAGTGAATGGTGCTGGGAGGACTGGCTATGCATATACAAAAGGATGAAATTGTACCTGCAACCATACATAAAAATAAAATCAGATTAAAGACTTAAATGTAAAGTCTGAGAGCTGTGCAGGGTCCTGATTACAACTGAGGTGGCAGAGGGGCCTTGAGAGTTGAGAGGGGCCAGGTAGACTGTCCAGGCCAAAACCAATGCAATGAAGTTGCACTGCGCAGTGGAAGGTCCTGGCACCTGGGGAAGGAATCAACCTTATCGTTCCCTGGGGAAGGGGACCAGTACTTAAATCACTGGCTCTTCCTCACTCTGCTGTAACTTTAGGGTGTGGCAGGGGTTAGTGAAGGGCCTTCACTCGAGTCCTGTGTGCAAATGTGGTTTGTGGTCACGATGCAGTTATAATCTTTGTGGCCACTGGAGTACTAAAACATGTCTACAATCCAGATTATCCATGGTGAATTGGGGCCTCTTGTACTGCCTATCTGAGTTAAGGGCCTATTCCCTCAAACTTCCTCTTTCACCTTCTTCTGCAGTCTCTTTGCCAGCCAAGCCCCGCTGGAGAGGAGGTTCAGGGCCATCAGGATGCTGTGAAGGTTGGAAGATTGAGTGTGTTAGGACTTTGTTAAAGTCAGTTAAAGAGAAGGCAGGATTTTGTGAATGTGAGGTAAGTCCCAGAACCTCACTGTGTTAGGGAGACAGAAGCATGTGGTGTTGACTATTAAAGATAAGCTCAATATAATAAGCTTGAAGATGGAGATTCTTCCAAACAACTGGCTGTGATTTATGGAATTGGTGAAACAAAAGTTTGAGATACTAGAAAAAAAAATAAAAGATTTAAACTTATGCAAGCAGTTGTGTTTTCACAAGTCTTCCGGCCAAGAGGAAGTCTGTGGAACCATCCATGTATGAGGAACTGGATAAAGCAGTGCCAGAATGGTTCATCCAGCAGAGAGCGAAAGGAG